TGGGGTTAGGGGGAAGGTGATATAGCAGAGGTGAGTAGGGCCCTATGGGAAGGTTTGCATGTCACACTGAGGAGTTTGGCATTTATGCCATAGCCAGCAGGGTTTGTCAGATTTGTCTTTTACAAGTTTAGCTCTGGCGATGATGTTGGAAGATGACCTCTTCAGAAGGGAAAAAACAGGGCCACGTTTCTAGTTAAGAGGTTATTGTACTAGTCAAGCCTGGAGATGAACTGAAAGCAAGGAGAACGCCACCACGGACAAGGACCTGATGTGATTTAGGGTTATCAAGGAGAAGAAGCATAAGATGACCCCTAGGTTTCTACTTTTGGGGGATGGGTGGGTAGTGATGCTACTGACAGAGCAACTACTGGAAGGCAAACAAGTTTTGGGGTGAATTTGGCTTTGGAAATGTTAAATTTCTGGTCCGTCGAACATTCCAGACCGTAGGTCATTGGGAAACTGATCTGGAGCTTGGGGCGGGATGAAGCTCAGGGTTTGAGATGCAAATCTGGGCCCCATCAGCATGTAAATGGTGTTTGAAGCCTCGGAAAGAGGCGAGATTAACTCGGAGGGAGAGCTCCGGAAAAAAGGGAAAGAGACCTTGGACAGAGCTCTGCAGAACTTGGAAATCAATCGAGTGGTGAGGCTGGCCAGAGGCTGATCCCTGCAAAGTCTGCGGGAGGTGAGAGCATCGTCAGAACCAAGCTCTTCCACCACTCCCCACCGGGGCTGGAGCTTTCCACCAGCTCTGAAACTGTTCTCTGGAGCAGGGCTGTCAGCCACATATGCCTTGATTCATCTGGAGCGGGACTACAATCTTGGCCCCAGATCAAGATCCTCGCGCCCCTCCCTTCCTTTGCCCCAGACTCAAACTTCTTTCTCCCTTGAGTATTGCTTTGCTCTCTCCTGCTCCCTCCAGACAGCCCTCTCTCCGAGTCCTCCCCAAAGGGCGCAACAGAACCCCATTCTGGGGAGTCACCCTCCCTCCCCGCCCCAAGCCCCACCCTCTGCCCCAGGTTCTCAGGTGCTGCTCTCTCCATCTGGATGTTGGTTCCCCTGGGTTGCATTGCCTGGCTGAGGCTTATTAAAAATACACATTTAGCAGCCCTACAGGAAAGGTTACATCTAGCAGGTGTAATGGGTTGAAGTGTGTCCCTGCCCCAAAAAGATGTTTTGAAGTCCTTACCACTGGTACCTGTGAATGTGGTTTCATTTGGAAATAAGGTCTTTGCAGATGTAAGCAAAGTAAGATGAAGTCATGCTAGATCAGAGTGCACCCTAAATCCAGTGGCTTGTGTCCTTATAAGAAAAGGGAGATTTGGAGACAGCAACACAGAGCAGACATGGGGGAAGGCAGCCATGTGGAGACCATGACAGAGGTTGGAGTGATGCGGCCACAAGCCAAGGCACACCGTGTTTTGCCAGCACACAGCAGAAGCTGGAAGAGTCAGGGAAGGATTCTTTCCTAGAGCCTTCAGAAGGAGTGCAGCCCTGCTGACGCCTGGATTCCCAACTTCCAGCCTCTGGAACTGGGAGAGAATGCAGTCCTGTGGTTTCAAACCGCCCAGTTTGTGGTCATTTGTTATGGCAGCCCCAGGAAGGGAACCCCACAGGTCTGAGGTGTGTATGGCAGGGAAGGGATGCTAAGAACCCACGTTTATCAGGCTCCCTGGGTGATCCGATGCTTTTGAGGAACGCTGCCCTGAGAATTCTGCTTCCTCTGAAACCCAGAAGGATGAAAGCCTGCCTGTTCTGCACCCCACATTCTGCTTGCCCCAAAGCAGCTTTGGTGACATTACCTTCCTGTCACCTTCCTTTCTCATCCAGGCTGTGCTGTCCAGCATTGCCACCATCTGTCACCAGGCTTGTTCCTTT